ATCAACAAATATTAAAGTCGTCAAAATACTAAATTTAAAGCAACATTTATATAGTCTTCCAACATCAATAAACTTAAAACATATAATGGTATAATCCACCAAATACACATCAAATAACTATCCAATAACAATTACATATCTAATTATAAAGCTATAGTTCTAAGGCAAAAAACTATTGGCACAAACAAAAATTTGTAGGGAAAAAAACCAGCTACCAAAACAAAGTAATTCTTGTGCCACAAAACAAAAATCAGCCATCAAATAACCATTGACACTTGACACAAATGAAATAATTATCCAATAACTATTGTCACTTGGCATAAACAAAAACTAGACATGAAACAAATTAATTCTTGTGCCCTTGATCATCTTCATTCAATTTTGAATTCATTGATTCCAATTCTACAAAAAAAAAAGTTGACAACAAAATACATAGATATAAAGTCAAAATAACAAAATTTATGAAAAAAAATACATATTACCTTCATCTAACTGGTTGTAATGCTCAACATCTTCCATGTGGAAATTATCTAACTGTGGAGAAGCTTTCAACCAATTTTGTGTGCATACCAAGACTTCCACCATTTTAGGACTTGATGAACTACGAAAAGGATCAAATATCCTTCCTCCGGTGCTAAAAGCACTTTCTGAACGTGAATTGCCAACACATCCTTAGCAAGATTAGACAAGACACCGTACTTACTTTTGTTAAGCTTCCACCAATCAAGAACATCAAAGTCCTTGTTCTCTATGCTTTCACGAGCATCAAGTAAGTATCTTTCCACATCATTTTTTATTTTAGCATAATCTTTTACAGCTTGTTTTTTCAAAAATTTAGAAAGATGAGCATTACTCATAGAAGAAGAACTGTCTTTATTTGTACCGAAAGAACTTAAAGACTCGTCAGTTGATACTTGACTACTTCCATGAACACCTTCACATGCCACATACCACTCATAAATATCCATGAAATTTTCTTTCAAAGATTTCATCATGTTACTAACAACTTCCCCATCCATGTATAGATCACTAAAACAGTATTCAACATAATCAATTTTATATCTTGGATTAAGGATAGTAGCAATAAGCAACAACTGATTCACATTTTCCATTTTATCCCAATACTTTTTGAACTTCGTCTTCATGTTAGTCGCCATTTCACCCAATAAAAAATTACCACTCAATCTCCATTCATCCAATTCGAATACAATATTACGAATTTCATGAAGATAAGCACAAGCACTAACATGCAATGAAGAACTAAAAAGTCAAAGTCACATCAAATTTTTTTAAAGAAACTTGACAAATACAAATCCATTTTTCCAATCTAAATTTGAAGGAGGTCCACCTCTCTTTTTACCACCATCGTCTTCCCGAAAGTAATGCAAATATTGAGCATCCTCTTCTTCTAACCTACCAAAAAGCTTTCTCAAATTTCAATGCCGTTTCCAACATTAAATAGGTAGAATTCCACCTAGTTGGAACATCCAAAAATACAATAGACTTGCAATCGATCTTCTCTTTTCTCACACACTCCTTCAGTTTTTCATACCTAGTAGGAGAAGATTTCACATATTTGATTGCATTGCGGATATTCACAATGGAGTCATATACTTCCCTCAACCCCTCACAAACAATCAAGTTTATAATGTGTGCACAACACCTCAAGTGCAAATATCTTCCATCTAGAACACATCCATCACTACCCCAAGCAATCAACTTCCTCCTAAGATAAGCAATAGCCACATCATTAGAGCTTGCATTATCAACAGTGATTGTAAAAACTTTCTCAATTCCCCAATCTTGCAAACAAGTCTCAATCATTTTCCCAATCGTTTCTCCTTTGTGATTTGGAACAACACAAAAATTCAAAATACGCTTATTAAGTGTCCAATCAGAATCAATAAAATGTGCTGTAAGAGACATGTAATTAACATTTTGAATGGAAGTCCAAGTATCAGTTGTGAGGGAAACCCTTTGACGGTAAAAAGAAAAGACATATCTCAATTTCAGTTTTTCATCTAAATGCAATTGATAGATGTCTCCAACAAGAGTCCTCCGAGATGGAGCCTTAAATTGAGGACATGCTACACTACAAAAGAGCTTAAAACCCTGACCTTCGACAAACCTAAAAGGTAATTCATCCAATACAACCATCTTAGCACATACAACTCTACACTCTTCTTTACTTCGACCAATAGCAACAAGATTGCTCCCGTCACCCTCTTTTTTGCTCTCAAAAGAAAGGATTTTTTGCTTCTTATCCACCAATCTACCAGGATAATTCTTACATTGATTTGTCAAATTATTACCCAATGTGCTAGTACCACACTTCTTAGTGCCACAAGCATAATCTACCCCACAGTAGTTACATTTACACCTAACATTTGGATCATCTCTTGATCCCAAAAGCGTAAAGTGATCCCAAACATATGAAGCTAATCTATTAGATTTTCGTTTACCTAATGTTGACGGTGCATATGGAGGAAGACTTGCTCATTTGATAGAGATTTTGTGCCAAGTACTTCACAATCATCCATATCTACAAACATATTCCACCAAAATTATAAAACAACCAAATAGATGTATTTAATAAAAAATAACAATGCAATACAATAAAGCAATAATACAACACCTATGGCTGTGTCCATTTCCTAAAGTGATGTTAATTTTGCACGACCTCGAAGCTGAACTGACACTAGTTGTCTACAAACTCTGCATCAATAATTGGTCCCAAATCTTCAGTTCAGTACTATAATATTTGACATCAGACAATAAGATGAAAAATCATGAGTAACACAAAAGTCCCAAAGCTTACTCATAATCAAGCACACCATTGAGTCAAAAGTGTGATGAAGAAGCTCAACATCCATACATATCTATCAAGAAAACAATACTAAAGACCAGTAGATTTTCTACAAAATCAAGTAAATCTTGACCATTTCATCTGGAATAAGTTCTCTATTTACTTAAATCAGGTGCCATAAAAAGGGGGAATGGGCCAACAAACAAAATAGGAACTCAATATATAAAACATATAAACAATAACTACACAAAAAAGGTGACTTAAAAGGATGGAGATGAAATCACATGGTAAACGTGAAGGGAATGATTCCAAAATAAAGTGGACAGAAATTTATGACGAGTCAACTTGGGGTGAGCCTGGTATCTTAAACTGATTGTTGCCTTGTGTGTGCGCATATATGATTATAAGATATAATTACAAATAGCAAACCAATCCCTAACATATATATTCTAGCATCTAAATCCAAGATAAGAGAGAAAGGAATCAATCAATCAATAAAAAGTAGCCATGCATACTTGCAATTTCAAATATGATCAGCAAAACAGAGACTTAGACCTCGTTGAACTATCAAGCAATAACTATGTAAATATATTCTTGTTCATAAATAGAAGTACCCAAAAGAATCAGAAAGAAGACAATACACTGTAGCCATTACTTCTAAATCATGCATATATATAACACAAAGTATTATGTTTCATTACTCATGCCGTCTATAATCGTGCTAGTACAAGCTAACCAAAAGGGAACATCAAAATTCAACACAGAGACATCGTAGCTGAACGAAAAATAAATCATATAGAATCAAAACAAAAAGAAAAAAACAGCAGGAAATCCAAGGAAAAGAGTTGCATAAGTGAGATGATATTACATATATTTCTTCGAAGAAATTGAAATTTGCTGCGCGATTAGGCACTCACTATCCTAATTGAAATTCGGAATGTTGCTTGGCATTGACTTGGGTGAGAGGACTTGAATGAGTGGATTATATAAGAATAAGATGCTGGGAAGTGGGAACAGTAAATCAGACAATAAACAGGGGAAAATGTTCACCTGGCTGTATTGCAACTTCCCAGATTTCTTCCACAGAACTAATATTGTGTCACTGTCCAGCAGGTGCTTGAAAGCTGAAGCACAATGACAGTGTCACAGTAGAACCTATTACACACAAAATACATCTCAATATTCCTAAATCCTAACTTCCGCAGTTTCTCTTTCAACAAAAAATGAGCTAAAACAGCACTATCAATTAAATAAAGAGTATTTCGGCATACATATTATTACTTCTGCAGCATAAAATTTGAAATTCGAAATGTACTCTTTTCTTGTCCTTTGTTTTAGAAGGGAGACTGAAGAGTTAGGAGACTGAGAAAAATAGAGTTTATCATTGCGAATTGAGAGAAAATGACGAGAGAGAGACTGAGAGTCTGAGAGATTAGGGCTTCATCCGTTCTCGTCTTGTGCCCTCACGTGAGAAGTGAAAACTGAGGACTGAGAAGCGTGAAGAACTGAAGAAGTAGGGCTTTGTTTGTTTAGGGCTTATTTTCAGTTTTCATCCATTTTTTTTTTCACTTTTAATTGTTGGAGAGTTGGGTCGGTTTGGGTTATTTCGGGTTTCGTTGGATAACCCATAAATCGACCTAACAACACAGCCCTTGACTCGAAACCTGCCTAAAAACACCAAAAAATCGACCCAAACCGGTTTGGGTCGAGCGGTTTCGTGGGTTGGCTTGGTTTTGCCCAGCCCTAGGTTTGTCTCTTGCGATTCACTTACATCATTGGACAAATTTGTGGAAAATCT